GGGCTCTACAATCAGCTTAAGGAGGAAAGAATAAGGGCAAATGTATCATCCAACTATCCAGCAATAAGCCTTTCATCAAAAGTACTTAAGTGCCTAACTATTAAAACTACTGCATTTGGTAATTTATTTATAAGTTACACATTTGATAATATGGAAAATTATAATAAAGAACCTATGTCTACTAACTGGACAGGCACTGTGTTAAGATCCTAAAGATGTATCTTGGCAGGGCGTGGTGGCTCACGCCTGTAGTCCCAACACTTTGGGAGGCCGAGGTGGGTAGAACACCTGAGGTCAGCAGTTTGAGGCCAGCCTGGCTAACATGGTGAAACCCCATCTCTGCCAAAAATACAAAAATTTAGCTGGGCTTGGTTGCAGACACCTGTAATCCCAGCTACTCAGGAGGCTGAGGCAGGAGAATAGCTTGAACTTGGGAGATGGAGGTTGCAGTGAGCTGAGATCACACTACCGCACTCCAGCCTGGGCGACAGAGCAAGACTCCATCTCAAAAAAAAAGAATAACCAGAATGTTGGAACAAATCAAAACCTAAAAAGATACTAAATAAAGGAGAAGTGATACAAGATAATTGGTATAAATCAGAATTTAGGAAGTTCAAAACCCTCTGAGAAATGCATCTAGAGCGGAAGGAAAGCAGTTATAAGGGCATATACTAGATAAAACTAATTAAAATAGATGAATATGGAAAAAAAAGTTATGAGAACCATCGGAAAGTACCTCCCCCTGGGACCCATTAGGAAATACCTCCTTCTGCCAGTATTCCCTTGTGTACAGCTCCTAAAAACATTCAAAGGGCAGGACAGAAATAATAAACAATCCTCTCTACAAAATGACTAGATTATAGGCTGATAGAGCTTTAATTGAGAGGCCTTTCCAAATGACTGAGAAATCAGACTAGAGTAACTCAGAATTGTAGTCTGAAGCTAGGACTTTTGTTTGAGAAAACCTTCCTAAGAGCTCATTACTGTTACTTTGATTCCATCTGTCTGTTGCTGTAGGATATCAAGTCATTTCAGAAATTCATGAGACATTTTTTGTTAAATCAGTTGCAATATTAATAAAGAAGAAACATTACTTATCCAAAATCTGGTATAACAAACCACAGGGGAAAGGCCACTCAGAATGATATTATTATTATTATTATTATTATT